GTTTTAGAACTTAGGAAAAAAAAAATAGAGAGAAAAAAAATAATGATGTCAAAAATAGTTTTGCCGGGAAAAAATTTCATAAGAAATTGACAAGTGTCCTTAATGATGTCAGCATGTTTTTGTTTTACTAATAGTTAATAGATATATAATATCATTAGTATGGATATCAGAATAACAAAGATGTGATTCTATTATTGATGCAAAATTAAGAAAAAAATGTTTTTCTTTTCATTCACTCATGAGTATCGTTAACAATCAACCCTTTTAAATTATTTGATCAAACTTACACGATTATAAATTTATAAAAATTCAAGGCATCGCCCGAGACAATAGCTAGTTTATCCTTAGTTATTCTCTAGATTTTTCACTTAATCGCCCTACTTCGGTTGCGTTTTCTAATAAGATTTATCACGAAACTTTTCAGAAACCTTAAAGTGAGGTCTCAAAACTTCCTCCTTATCTCCTACAATCACTTTATTCGTGCATAAGTGAAGATTTCAGTTCTTAATTTCTCCTTTTTTTCAGCGCTTATTTAAGTTTATCAGTTCATATTTTGTAGTCATTTTTTCCGATTTAACTTTTTTTTTTTTTTGGAATTTCATGGATTAAATATTGTTATGATTGCCCTTTTATTTAATCGATTAATGTTGGTGAAATATTGTGTGATATATTGTGCAAAATTTCGAATCTTTGAAGGGTAGTTATTCGATTGTTTGTGAATTGAATGAATGTGGTTGTTCTGAATCAACTTTTCCGTTCTGTTTTTCGAATGTATACGTGTGTTTTTAGGGCATTCGAATTTATCGATTGAATTAAAAAAATTAAAAAAGATTTTTGTGTGATTACTATTACTGTGAACAAAATTTTGTGTGAAACTTAAGAGTAGTATAAGTGTCGATTCACATTTACTGAATTGAGCTAAACTGAATTGAACTAAATTAATTGGAGCTAAACTGAATTGATTGGAGTTGAACTGAACTGAACTGAGCTGAAATGAATATTTTATGAGAAGGATATTATAAGCTAAACTGAAGTGAACTAAACTGAACCGATTGGAGCTAAACTGAACTGAAATTAAATAAATGTGAACAAGCCCTAAGTTGTACATTGAGTTTTGTTGTTTCCAAATAAACAAATACTTTAAATGGCTTAAGCGAAGTGCTATTGTTTTGGCGACAGATTATTGGGTGGTGCACCAGTATGTGTTTACTCGTAAATAAGAATAACAGAGTACTTCTTTTGAAAAAATGTATAGGAACCAAAAATTGGGCGAAGGGTTTCGATGGATAATGATCATAGTAGCAGTAGTAGTGGTGATACGATAGCGGAAGGGGATGAGAAATCGCTGATTTCGGTGAGTTGTGATAGAAATATATGGAATGTTTTCCTTTCTTTGTCATTCATGTTGACAGAATATATAGCATAATCCTAGGCTCCAATCTAGGAAACTAACTATGCTATACACGTATATCAAGGACTATAAAATAGATAATTATTAGAGAATTATCTTCTTTGACTTAGAAAATATGTACAATATACTTAACACACCCCCACAGTCGAAGCGGGAGGGCAATGGACGCTAAGACTGTCCCTAAAATCCTCAAATAAAACTCGCGGAAGACCTTTGGTAAAAATATCCGCTATCTGATATCGTGACGGCACATGTAGAACCCGAACTTCCCCACGTGCAACCTTCTCTCGTACAAAATAAATATCCATTTCAATGTGTTTTGTACGTTGATGTTGAACTGGATTTCCCGACAAATAAATAGAACTGACATTGTCACAATACACAAGAGTAGCCTTTTTAATCGAACTATGTAACTCCAAGAGAAGATTCCGAATCCAGCATGACTCGGAGATAACATTCGCCACCCCTCTATACTCGCCCTCTGCACTAGATTTTGACAATGTGGGCTGGCGTTTAGACGACCAAGAAATCAGATTATCACCCAAGAAAACACAATAACCAGACGTTGAACGTCTCGTATCAGGGCACCCACCCCAATTTGCATCAGTATATGCGACCAGAGAAGAAATAGAAGATGGATATAGATGTAAACCAAATTCAATAGTACCCTGGACATACCGAATAATTCGTTTGAGAGCAGACATATGTTCAACCCTCGGGTCATGCATATGTAGACAAACCTGCTGAACAACATAAGAAATATCCGGTCTGGTGAAAGTAAGATACTGGAGAGCCCCTGCAAGGCTCCGATAGAGAGAAGGATCATCAATAGGAGCACTGGTAGTAGCTCCTAACTTCGACTTTGTGTCAACTGGAGTCGCAGATGGATTACACGTTGACATCCCTGCACGGTCAATTATTTCCTCGGCGTATTTACGCTGTGAAAGAAACAAGCCACCCTTATGTCGAGTGACAACAATACCCAGAAAATAATTCAAAGGACCAAGGTCCTTCATAGCAAACTCAGAGATAAGAAGTGACATGATAGAGCATCGGAGAGCATTAGAAGAAGCAGTCAGAATGATATCATCAACATACAATAAAATGTAAGCCATGTCAGATCTTTTTCGATAGATAAATAAAGAATTATCCATCGTGTTGTTGGTAAAACCAAGAGATAACACATAATCAGCAAACCTTTTATACCAAGCCCTGGGTGACTGCTTAAGTCCATGAAGTGACTTATTCAAGAGACAAACATAATCAGGATGATCCCGATCTCTGTAACCAACCAGTTGATGCATATAAACAGTTTCCTGCAATTCACCATGTAAGAAAGCATTTTTAACATCTAACTGATGTATAGGCCATGCCTTCGATTAAGAAAGACTAAGATCAGTACGAATCGAAGCCGGTTTGACAACCGAACTAAAATTCTAGCCACAATCAATGCCAACCTGTTGAGTTTTACCATCACCTACAAGACGGGCTTTATGCCTCTCAAAATCACCGTTAGACTTGACTTTATGAGTAAAAATCCACATAGAACGAATAACATTCACATCAGGTGGACGGGGCACCAACTTCCACGTCTTATTTTTAATAAGAGAATCATATTCATCATCCATGGCCATTTTCCAATTCGGATCACGCAAAGCCTCTACCGGATTACGAGGTAAAGGAGACCTCACAATCGCAGCATTACAAGAGTATTTCAGATTGGGTTTAAAAATCCCATTCCTACTTATAGTCACGACACTGGGCTGCTGGGCAGGAACTTGTTTAGAAGACTGACCCGAATCTGAGTGTGGGCCCGTCAAAATTGCTGGCCCAGAAGGAGGGGAGGTAGCGTGTTGCTCTTGGTCATGAGATGGTGATGTGAGTTGGGCTGGAGAAGTGGGCTGATTTGTTTGTGGAGATGGTGGGTCCGGTTGTGGTGTGGAAGGCACTTGGTGGACCGGTGAAGAAGGATTGTTAGTGGGCTGATTTGTTTGAGCTTGTGGAGTAGGCGTGAGGCCAGTTTGCTGAAGGTGATTGATAACATATGGAGATATTCCATTGTCAAGAAAATCATAATAATGTGAAGGTGGGGAATGCAACTGTGAAAATGGAAAAACATTTTCATCAAACAAAACATGCCGACACACAATGATTTTATTAGTGGACAAATCAAAGCACTTATACCCACGATGGTTATTAGGAAATCCCAAAAAAACACAAGGCATAGACCTAGGTTGCAACTTATTAATAGTTGTAGATGGAATCAAGGGATAACACAAACACCCAAAAACCTTTAAATGAGCATAAGACGACACTCTTTTGTAAAGAACCTCAACAGGAGACTTATTTCCCAACCCTTTACTTGGTAGAATATTAAGGAGATATGTTGCCATTTGCAAAGAATGATTCCAAAAAGAATGAGGAAAGGATGCATGAGCAAGAAGGGTACGAGAGATATTATTAATTGTGTGGATTTTTCGCTCGGCTTTCCCATTTTGTGGAGATGTATGAGGACAAGAAAGACGGAAAGACAACCCATTTTTCTTACAAAAATCCCAAAAAGGTCCATTATCAAATTCCCGCTTATTATCACATTGAATATTTTTAATAGTTTGCTCAAATTGAGAGGATATGTGGGCCTTAAAGGTTAATAAAGTATCATACACATCCGATTTTCGTGCTATAGGAAAAGTCCACAAATAATTTGAAAAATCATCCAACAATACTACATAATATCGATGACCCAAAGAGATCAAAACAGGTGAAGTCCATAGATCACTATGAATAATATCAAATGGCATAATAGTATTAGACGAAGAAGCAACAAAAGGCAACTTAATATGTTTCCCAAGTACACAAGATCCACAGATACTAGAACAAGAAAGTCTATTACAATCAATGCTTTTATTATGCCGTAAAACATCTAAAATAGGAGCACTTGGATGGCCTAGACGATCATGCCAAAGCTTAGGTGAGATGACGACAAAGGTAGATGAGGTAGCTTGATTGGGGAATGAAGAAGAAATAGGATAGAGGTCCCCCCGACTATCACATCGCATTATTGGCATCCCCGTCCGTAGGTCCTTCACAGAAAACCCAAACGGATCAAACTCAACTGACACAGAATTATCAGTAGTAAATTTTCTAACAGAAATAAGATTTTTTATAAGTTTTGGAGCATGAAGGACATTGTTTAGGGAAAGGGACGAACTCGAAGATGACAATTTAGTATGACCATATCCTTGAATTGGAATAGTATGACCGTTTCCAACAACAATACTATTATTTGGATGATTTCTCAAATTAAAATAAGACGAGAGAGTACCTTGGGAGGAGGTCATATGGGAAGTTGCACCGATGTCCATGTACCACGAAGGATCGGGTTGACTCAGCGACATTGTTTGCATAGCTGATTCGATGTCAATAGGAACATAAGTAGGTTGTTGCCCAAATGACGCATAAGCTTGCTGTGGGTAGGCCTGTTGCTGATACGGAGGTCTTGGGCCTAAAAGGCCTGGCTGTCTTTGTTGGGAGAGAGGCCTAGCCCAACCTGCGTAGGAAATGGGCAAGGCGGGATAGGCATCCATCTCTAACCCGGGAAATTCCCCTGCTGGCCACCAGAGGGCTGCTGCTGTTGGCCACCGTTGCCACGGCCGCCGCCGTTCTGTCCTCGGCCCTTTCCTCCACTGCCGGAGCCACGACTAGCACCATTACCCGAATTATTTCTGCCACCATTCTTGCCCTTTTTCTGTCTTGGACCCTTAGCTTGCCCCGAATTGTCATTGTAGACCGACGACTCATCACCGGAAGCAGCGAGCATTGCAGAATCAGACCCCGTCATTGCTTTTTTGGCCATGCCGACCTCTTCTAAGGTAAGCATTGACCTCGCTTGATAGAAAGGAGGCAGGGGATTTCTCTGCCTTATGAGCGTTCCCACGCCACTGTACGCCTTTGTGAGGCCTCCCACCAATTGAAGAACCATCCTACTATCCGAAACAGGTGCTCCTACATTCTTGAGTTGATCGGCGATCGATTTCAGACGTTGACAGTACGCCGAAATGTTGGGAAAGTCCTCCAAATGAGTACTGGAAAACTCTTGCTCAAGAGTGACGGCCCGAGAATGTTGGTTGTCTTGAAATATGTCACGCAGCCTATTCCAAGCTTCCATGGCTGTAGTACCTGGATCGATAATGGTGTTGTGGAGGTCACGAGAGATGGTAGTATATATCCACGATAAAACCGCGACATCAAGGGTTTCCCATAGTACCTTTTCTTCCTCGGTAGAAGGAACCTTCTCCTTGCCTTTGTCATTGCCGGCAGGGGGAATGATATGGTGAAGGACCCGATGAGATTTTGCGTGAATTTTGAACAATCCTGCCCGTGTAGTGTATTGAGAATTATCCATTTCTAGGGTAATGGAAATATTGCTCTTGATGTTAGGTACGACAAGAGCCGGATGAAAAGAAGAAGATTTGGAGTCACCCGTGGAGAAAATAGCAAAGAAAAAGATGAAGAAGAAGAAGATTGACAATAGTGAGCAGTAAACCGAGGATAGCAGCGGAAGAGACGAAGGATTTTTGCACTAGGAAACTGATACCATGATAGAAATATAAGGAATGTTTTCCTTGCTTTGTCATTCATGTTGACAGAATATATATACAAAGATTTCAGCATAATCCTAGGCTCTAATCTAGGAAACTAACTATGCTATACACGTATATCAAGGACTATAAAATAGGAGGATAATTATTAGAGAATTATCTCCTTTGACTTAGTAAATATGTACAATATACTTAACAAGTTGAAACTAACATTGTTATTACTACCACCAGATCGTATTATATGCAACTTTGGGGTATTATTTGTGAGATATAAAAAATTTCAAAGTTGCATATAGTATGATCCAGAGGTAGTATATAGAATAGGGTGTATGTATTTTCTGATAGTTGAATATTTGCTATATATTGGGTGATTTATTTTCTGTCAGGCTTCATCTTTTGTTCGTTGGTTATACTGTTTAAAATGACTTGATGAACTAACTGATATTAGTTATTATAATTTTCTTCTGATGGTTTTCTATTTGTTTATGTTAATAACTTATTTGGTTTCCTTTGCAGGTCTTCATAAAACCCTTTTTAGCCCGTCCATTTACTCTGGAGGGATGCAAGTTCCGTCCGTCTAATACCTTTGATGACATTGTCATCAAGGCTGCCATTATACGTGAATTAAGGCCTAATCATGACCTCTATGAATTGTCTGACCCTAAAACAGACTTCCTGGAGATTCCCGGTGATTTCGGTGTATTGGAGGATGATTGGACTATAGCATATGTATATGAGAGCTGTTATCCTACCGATATTACCATAGACATCATCCCCCTTGCTCTTATGGGTACGATGTTACCCCAGCCCGAGACCAGGCCACCCGACTTGGCTGATTCAGATGTCGGGGATTACCATGTTTTTGATTTTTTCACTAAGAGGCCTAGAACAGAGATGCTACCCTGTTAGGAATATAGGAAAATATATTATTGTGATATATTTTCCATATAGATATTATGATATTATATTTAGGATAATAATATATCTTAGTGATATTCTAAGATAGATTTTCCTATATTCCTAACATATTCTTCCGTGCTGCAACTTTACTCCCTGTCTTTGATGGCCCTTTGGAGCTCTCAAGACCTGTGACGGTCGTCCCTTTTCTATTGACGACCTCCAATATTTTAGATCTTTTTACACCTCCGCTTTCCATGTCCTTTTGACTCCCATTGTTCGAATTTGGGGAATCCTGTCAGCCTTAAATGACTCTAGATACCTTGTCGTTCACATTAGCTGGGACAGATTGTCCTATCTGTTTCTCCGAGTAATTAAGATATTCTACCCTGACATGCCTTTTGTTGCTGTCACTGATCGTACCCCTCACCAGCTTGACATGCTAACCTTCCTTGACGAAGCTGAGGATTTTTCTGTTAATCATATTGAGCGTTTGGACATCAAGTGGCTTGAATTAAGTCCTTCGGACCTTGAGCGCTTTCCTGCTGATGTGTTTGATGGTCTGGTCTTGCCCCGACCACGTGACTTTGATAATGTCCTGTCCAAGATCCAGTGGAATCCGCATTTCAGTAGGAACCAAGCGTGGGTTAGAGAATTGGAGCTCTTTAGAGAGAATCAAAAGTGTGTAATGTTCCAGCCTAGTGGCCCTCCGAAAAATATACTATCCAAGAAACTGTTAGAGATGGATGGCGTTTAGCTTCCACTTTAACCCGCCTCCTAATGCCAATTCCATCTTGGAGAATGTTGTGTTCTTGCAGGTTTGTTTAAATACTAGAGATATTATGAGCATGTACTCTTAGTTGTTTTATGTAATCTAGCTATTTATGATGATGTGAGTTAGTGACCTTGTTGGTTTGTTTAGATGAAAGATAATACTATATAATCTAGGTCTTTTAGCTGCTGATGTTTCTGATATTAATTTAGCTATACTACTCATGCACTCTATTTCAGCATTTCTGAATCTAATCTGAGTTTTATATCAGCACCCTCTTGGCGTTTGTCATTTGAAGATGTGTTTTGGTTCAATGACCAACTTTTATACTTCCTACATTTTTAATTATTTGCATCACTTGTTAAAAATAAAATTTTATTTAGATGCATCACTTTTTCTTTTAGTTAAAAATGTGTTTTAACAATGATAATCTAAAAATAATTTATAAAAAATAAAATAAAATCATACTCCAATTACTAGTTATTCACTCTTCACACTCCTATCACTCAAATATTGGTTTGTTCAATTGTTTATGACAAGTCATTTTACCCGTCAATCAAGTTAGGTTATGTCCGCTCAAATTCGGGTCAAAATCTGGTTTAATGGGTACATAATATTGGATTTGGTACAAGTCAATTTTGGGTCAAGCTAAGTCTTATTGGCTTAAGAGAATCCGGGTTAAGTTTAAACCAAGTTTATTTTGGACTCAATAAAATTGATTGACTTTGGGCTGTGAGATCTTAGTTATGCTCCTACTATTACCATTAAAAATTATTACTCCGTAAAATGTAGCCTATAAGACTGTAGAGATGAAATGTTACATATTAATCTAGTAATATTTATAAGAATAACCCTGCGTGATTTGACACCTATATGTTGGTTTGCAAGTTATTTACTTAACAGAATTATGTGTTGTGACAATCGTAGTGGTATCATAGTGGTGTCACTCAAATTTGGGTTTGGTTACAACAAGTCATTGTAACGGTCAATGAAATTAGTTGGGTTCATTTAAATTTTGTTAGGGCCTATATTTAGTATTTATATTGTATAGCTTACAGGCCTATTTCATGAGCCCTAATTTCTTGTATAAATACCCTAATCTACACTCTAACGAAATACAGAAAATTCTATTCACTCTATTTTGACATGGTATCGGAGCCTCTATACTCTAAACCCTAATCTATTCTCTCTAAATTATTTTTTTTCTCTAATCTCTATTCTCTGATTACTACTCTCTAATCACTATTTTACTCTACTGTTTGTTCATCAATGGCGGAAGAAGGAAAAATTGATCCTTCGTCCCCTTTCTATATCTTGGAGCAGGAGATCAACCCGGCAATTTAATCACTCATGTGGTATTGAAGGGTGACAATTTTCTTGCGTGGTCTAGGGCTATTACTCTTTCCTTGAAGTCTCGGAGGAAGTATGGGTTTGTTGATGGCACCATCTCAAAATCGACAGAGAAGAGGAAGCTCCTTGATTGGGACACTGTCAACTCCATGCTTGTTTCATGGATTTTACGAGCTATTGACCCGAAGCTTACGGCCTCCATCCCATACTTTGAGGAAGCACGAAAATTATGGGATTCTTTGGAGAAGCGTTTTTGCGAGGCTAGTGGTGTTCGCCTCCAAAAATTGCGTTCTTCTATCACCAATTGCAAACAAACTAAATCTATGACTGTGGAAGATTACTACAACACTTTGATAGGATTTTATGATGATTTGGTCAGTCTCAAGCCTCCCCATGGATGTGAGTGCGGGAAGTGTGAGTGTAATGTTGCTGCTAAGTATGAAATTGACAGAGATGAAGAGAAATTGCTTCAGTTTCTCATTGGAATTGATGATGAGAAATATGCAGCCGTGAGGACAAAATTGTTGTCCCAGCAACCACCGGCTACGCTAGACCGTGCATACCACGCTTTTCTTCAGGAAGAGCGCTCTCGTGGCATCGCACAAACCAAGACTAAGGATGAGGCACACATTTTTTCTCTTCCCTCTGATCGAAGGAATTTACAGCCGCCAAATAGGGTCAATAAGAGCAGATTATATTGCTCACATTGCAAGCGCTCAGGCCATGACAATTCCGGCTTCTTTATGCTTCATGGTTACCCAGATTGGTGGGTCGAGAAATATGGGACAAAAGGGGGTGGTGCGAATTCTGGTCAGTCCCCTGCTTCTGGCAGCAGGGCTGCTCTGTCATCTCACGCCTCTGTCGCACCTGCTGCTGCCGCAACACCTTCTGCCGCTCCTGCTTCTGTTCACAACAAGCCCCCGGCTCGTGCTAATGTCGTGGGCAGTCCTATTGGTGATGGTCCTTCCCAAGCTACTCTTTCGGCCTTATCTGAGTTCAAGCCTGAGCATGTTCGTCTTTTGTTGAATATGGTTAATAATAGTCAACAAGACAAAATGATTGGTGAGTATTTTTCATCATCTTGGATTATCGACACCGGCGCCTCTCATCATGTCACCGGTGATGCCTCTTGTTTAATGGATGAACGTTCTATTTTATCATGCCCCGTTGGTCTTCCGGATGGTACACAAACTCTGGCTACAAAGGAAGGGCGTGTGTATTTGGCCGACGGAATTACTCTAGAGAATGTTTTATTTGTGCCTAAATTAAATTGCAATTTAATTTCGGTGTCTAAAATGATTGATGATTCTGCTTGTTATGTCCGATTCACTGACTCTTTATGTGCTATACAGGACCAACACTCGGGGAGCCTGATTGGAGGCGGTGAACGAATAGATGGACTCTACTATTTCCGGCGAATCCCAAAAGTATGTGCGGTGACGAATTCGGGAGTTTCTACATTCGAGCTATGGCATTGTCGTCTGGGTCATCCGTCGGATCAAATAGTCAAGTTAGTGCCTGCTATTAGTGCTAGTTCTGGTAGCAAATTTTTGAATAAAGCATATGATATTTGTCCACAAGCTAAGCAGTCTCGGGGTTGTTTCTCGGATAGTGATAGTCGGGCTAGCCGAATTTTTGAAATGATTCATTGTGATTTATAGGGGCTATATAAGACTCCTTCTACATGTGGTGCTCATTATTTTTTGACTATGGTTGATGATTTCTCAAGAGGTGTTTGGGTTTATTTGTTAAATGATAAAACAGAAGTTTATTCTTCGTTATGTTCTTTCTTTGCTATGGTTAAATGTCAATTTGATGTTCATTGTTAAATGAGTGCGGAGTGATAATGGTACGGAATTCAAACCCATGATTCCGTATTTTAATGATAATGGCATTTTATTCCAAACCTCTTGTGTCGGTACCCCACAACAAAATGGTAGAGTGGAGCGTAAACACCAACATATTTTGAATGTTAGTCGTGCTTTAATGTTTGAAGGCAATCTTCCGATTGGTTTTTGGGGAGAATGTGTCCTAGGTGCGGTCTACTTGATTAACCGTACTCCCTCTCGTTTACTTGATAATAAAACTCCATTTGAAGTGCTTTTTAGTAAGGCACCTAATTTTGATGAATTGAAAGTTTTTGGGTGTCTTTTCTTTGCTCATAATCAAAAGGCTAAGGGGGATAAATTTGCTCCTAGGAGTAGGAAATGTGTGTTTATGGCCTACCCTCATGGTAAGAAAGGGTGGAAGTTGTATGACTTGGAGACGGGTGATATTTTTGTTTCCCGTGATGTAATATTTTATGAGAATGAATTTCCGTTTGCTACAAAGGGTGATGGTCATGTTAGGAATGAGATTGCGGTTTAAAATGATGGGGTGTGGATACTGATTTTCTTGATGATTTGGAGTGTGTTCTCGAGGCTAGTGAGGCTTCTCTTGCCCCCGGAACTCCGGACAGGAGTGCAGGCAGCCCCCAAACCCCGCCTGCCACTGCTGCCCCTGCTTCCCAGGCCGCTGCTGCTGCTGGCAGCCTAGTCCGCGACCTGCCTGCGGTTTCTAGTGCTGCCGCAGCCAGCCCGTGGTCCCTACTGCCGCTACAGGTGACAGCAGCTCTGACAGCTCTTCCCACGCTGACCCGAACTCTTCTTCCTCATCTACTCTTGATTTGGGTCGTGGTCTTCGGCCAAATAATCCACCGGGTTGGCACCGTGATTACGTCGCACATACTTTATCTATCCCGGGTCCATCTACTTCCACTAGTTCACCGTCTACTCCGAGCTCCTCAGGTACTCCTTACCCTTTAGCACATTTTGTGAATTGTGATAAATTTTCTGTGCGACACCGTGCTTTTATTGCAGCTGTTGATACGATAGTTGAGCCTCGTAATTTCAAGGAGGCAATGCAAGATGAGGGATGGAAAGAGGAAATGCAAAAAGAAATTGATGCATTGGAAAATAATGGCACATGGGTGATGGAAACGTTACCTCCGGGCAAGAAAGCTCTTGGGTGTCGATGGGTCTACAAGGTCAAGCTTAATTCTGACGGCACACTAGAGCGATTGAAGGCTCGTCTTGTTATTTTTGGTAATCATCAAGTTGAAGGTATCGATTATAACGAGACGTTTGCTCCTATTGCTAAAATGGTCACTGTACGTGTGTTTCTGGTTGTGGCTGCTGCGAAGAACTGGGAATTGCATCAGATGGATGTCCACAATGCATTTCTTCACGGTGATCTTGATGAGGAGGTTTATATGAAACCTCCCCCTGGTTTTCATGGCACTAAACCTGGTATGGTGTGTCGTCTTCTGAAGTCATTGCATGGTCTTCGGCAGGCACCTCGTTGTTGGTTCTCTAAATTGGCCTCCTCTCTGAAAAGGTACGGATTTTGGCAATCGTACTCTGATTACTCTCTTTTTACTCTGCGATCTGGGTCTATTCAACTGAGTGTTCTGGTCTATGTTGATGATTTGATAATTTATGGTAATGATTCCTCTGCGATTTATACATTCAAGTCATACTTGAGTGACTGCTTTCATATGAAAGATTTGTGTGTTTTGAAGTATTTTCTTGGTGTTGAGGTTGCTCGTAGTCCGGATGGCATATTTTTATGTCAACGGAAATATACTCTTGACATTATTGCAGAGTCTGGTTTGCTAGGTTCTCGTCCAGCAGGTACTCCTATTGAGCAGAATCATACTCTGGCGAAATCAGAGTCCTCTTTCTTTTCTGATCCAGAGCAGTATCGATGGCTTGTCGGTCGTCTGATTTATTTGTATTTTACTAGACCAAATTTAGCATACGCGGTGCATATTCTGTCTCAATTTATGCACCAACCACGACAGGATCACTGGGAAGCTGCTCTTCGTACTGTACGGTACTTGAAAGGATGTCCGGGTTAGGGAATCCTTTTGAGTTCAGACTGTAATTTACATATTACAGGTTGGTGTGACTCAGATTGGGCAAGTTGTCCCTTGTCGCGTCGTTCTATCTCTGGCTGGTTAGTGTTTCTTGGTTCTTCTCCTGTGTCTTGGAAGACTAAGAAACAGGACACTGTGGCTAAGTCTTCTTCAGAGGCCGAATTCCGCTCAATGTCTAAAACTACTGATGAATTGAAATGGTTAAAGGCCCTTCTTCTGAGTTTGGGTGTCTCACATCCCCGTGCTATGAGTTTGTTTTGTGATAATCAATCTGCCTTGTATATTGTGCAGAATCCGGTTTTCCATGAGAGTACCAAGCATATTGAGGTGGATTGTTATTATCTACGTGATGCGATTCAGGATGATATCATTAGTCCGTCTTATGTGAAGACTACAGATCAATTAGCGGACATTTTCACCAAGGCTTTGAGTAAAAGTCAGTTCATGTATTTACTTGGGAAGTTAGGCATTTGTGACTTGCATGCTCCAACTTGAGGGGGGGTGTTAGGGCCTATATTTAGTATTTATATTGTATAGCTTACGGGCCTATTTCATGAGCCCTAATTTCTTGTATAAATACCCTACTCTTCACTCTAACGAAATACAGAAAATTCTATTCACTCTATTTTGACAAATTTGGATCATATCATAGTCTATTAGTCTGGTTAGTTGGATACATATTAGATTTGTTATAGGACAATTTTGGGTTAGGTTCAACAAAATCAAGTTCAAGTTTAAACTGAATTTATTTCAGACATATGATTGGTTGATTTGTCAGCCAGATCTTAGGTAGTCAAATAGCGGTTTTACTCAATTTTACCACAAAAAGTACACTTTTTGTTATCGTGCTAAACGAAAGTTGTTTATCACAGAGATAAATTTGAATTGATGATAGTTTATTTGCGAATATGTCCTTTTTTTTTAGAGAGATAATTTTATTATTTGCGAATATGTCCCCGAATGAATTTATGCATTATATGTTTGGTTAAATACTTAAATTAAGCACGTGGACATATATATATTCTGTTAGATAATGATGATAGAATAATAGAATTGTTGATACTGATAAATTTTCCATCATGCATCACAATTCACAAGTCAAAAGTATATTTAGTGATGATAGAATGATAGAATTTTGTTGGCACTGGTAAATTCTTCATCATCTCAATTCACAAGTCAATTTATTCTGTGATACGCTGCATGCGCCCAACAAACGCAAAACTATATACGGTATACACTATCAATTGATTGTTGATGTAGTGGTGATTGGGACTACACTTGGTAGGGAGGACCCGTGTTCGATCCCCCGCAACAACAATTGGGAGAGGACTGAAACCTAACCATCCAGAATTAATCCCCGAATCCGGATTAGCACAAAGGGTAGAACACAAAAAAAAAAAACTATATACTGTATATTGAACAAATGTTTTCAAATTGGAATATTAAGCGCAGGTTATGAGGAACAAATGTTTTCAAATTGGAATATTAAGCGCAGGTTATGAGGAGAGTCAGGAAGAGTATCACGTGTATATAAATATATGGATACCCTCCCCATAAATCACAGTACACCTACTACAAAAACTTTAGTTCTTTCCAAGCTTTTACCGTTCGCTCACCTTCCAAAGCAAAGATTATGGCTCAACTTATCGCCAAAGTGCGGACTTGTTGCTTGAATATGTATTCATTTATTTACATTTTAGTACTCTAATAAAATATTATCTTAACTTCAAATACACCTCCGTTACAGGTTATGTGCAACGATTAGACATTTTCCCCTCTGCTTTATGTCAAATCGTTGCACATAACCTGTAACGAAGGTAGTATTATATTGCATGGTTTATTGATTGAGAATTTAATACGAAGAAGAGGTCATGAGATCTAATAAGATGTATATATGATGTAAATAAGTTTTGTTTTATTTATTTTGACAGAGAGCGAATGAAAAGATCGTGGAATACGGACCGTATGGTTCGCAATCCCCTACAAACTATCGCATACAGCTTAAAGAGGGTGAACGTATAAAAGAGGTATTAGTTAAGCATGGATGGAATGTGGATGCAATTGGGTTCTTGATAGAGAGGCCTGACCAAAGCGTCGTCCTTGAAATGACTGGTGAAGGTGGCCAAACTATGTCCAAGGTCAATAAACATGCATAAACCTTTGAATCAAATTCAATTGTTTGTAAGTTAGTTAAGTTTATTCAGAGTACTTGTTATAATTTTGTGCAGATTGCTCTCAAATCCGGTGAGACTGTAGCTGGATTTAGTGGAACGTATGGAAACAAGCAAGACTCGGGAAATATGTGCGTTATTGCCACTCTAAAGATACACACCAACTTATGTCCCGAGGGGTACGGACCATATGGAGCGCAAAAAGGCGTAAGTAATGTTACTTTCTTTACGTCTACTGCCAGGGCTGATTTCTTAGGTGTTTTCGGAAGGGCAGGCCAATACCTCGAGTCACTTGGAGCTATCTACATACAGTGATACAGGTATAATTTTAACTTTTTTTACTAAGCTGAAATTATTTTTACAGCACTAAAATTAGTATATATGAATAACGTAAAAAGTTAGATATGTCAATTATTTATAAAGAAAATCAAGATAAATCTAACAAGACCCCACGCACATGACTATATTTTCCTTTAATTATAATCATCAAAGTTAGTTAAAATTTAGTATGTAAATATATAATGCAAAAGTTATATAGTTATAATTAAATGAAATGAAAACGAAATAAGTACTGTATTGTGCTAATATGTTTTGTTTATTCCATGTCATAATCAGGGTTAAACAAAAATGCGGTGGTCGATCATGTAATGCATACAAGTAATTAAGTTGCGTCCACTATGATCTATGTGGAGGCTTTCTATTTCCAATAAGCCACATTTGTATGCTACGAGTGGCCTCTCAAGTGCGAGTTGTAATCTTAAACTTGAGTGAATGTTTTAGTGTATTCCTAAGGTTGTAACTGTAATTGTATAATTTAATTGTAATTATATATATATATATATATATATATATATATATATATATATATATAGGGTCAGGATCCGGTGAGAACCACCTTTTATGTGAGCACCCACACCTTATGTGAGAACAAATCTCAGCCGCTAGATTAGATGAAATCCAACTGCTGAGATTATAAGCATGCCTAACAAACTAACTTTCAGCATCTAATTTATCTCTCCCCTCTATTCTGTATGCACATCAAAGCTCATCAATGGCGATTTACTTATCAATGGCGATTCACTGAGTATGCTCTTCTTTCGGCAAATTTCAACGGTTTCTTTCTGCAATTTTCAACGGTTTCTTTTTGCAAATTTTAACGGTCGCAATTTCATCCATCATTGAGGTTTGTTCGTAATTTTAATTTTGAATTGCATGTTAATCTGAATGTTCAAAATATTTTGATTTTACATCTCTGAAAAATTTGGAATTGCATGTTAATTTTCGAATTGAATTACATGTTAATTTTCGAATTACATTAATCAGATTGAATGTTTAATTGCATCAATTATTTGATTGAATTGAATCAATTATTTAGGTTTGATTAATTTGATAGAGATTTTACTAATATCAAATTAAACTTGATAGTGATTGAATCAATTATTTATGTTGTTAGTAGGTTTTTATTTTCAATTGAATGTTGTTATTATGTTCTTATTTTCAATCAAATACAAAATGAGCAAATAAATTAAAATGAGAAAACCTAAATATGTATAATAGAACATTTAAAATGAGGTAACTACAATTAAAATGAGCAAATATTAATGACATTCATAAGTAATTCAAGGATCTATAAGTTTGGCAAATATTAGCTTGTAAAAACACTAAGTATACAAAATTGTGTATGTATGTATGTGTGTGTGTGTGTGTGTGTGTGTGTGAGTGTGAGTGTAACAGTGTGTCTGTGTGTGAGTGTGAGTGTGAGTGTGAGTGTAACAGTGTGTCTGTGTGTGAGTGTGAGTGTGATTAAGTGTAAGAGTTTATATATGTGGGCATTGAATTGCATGTTCATTTGACAAATGAGCAAACCTATCCCCCCCTGCCCCCTCCTCTTTCTGCTTGCAATTCTGATTTCAGAAACTGATTTCAGTTATAATTATAGATTATGAAATTATTGAGTGTGTGTGTGTGTGTATGTGTGTGTGTGTGTAAGTGTGTATCTATGTCTGTGTGTGTGTAAGTTTGTTTAAGAAACTGATTTCAGTTCTAATTATTAAGAGTGTATGTGTGTGTTTAAGGAGGTGCATATTCACAAATGATGAGCAACAACGAACAAGTTGAGAGTCAATCAAGCACCATCACAAATGTGCCAACTACTCCTACAATAGTAGTTTCTCCTAAAGTAGCACCTTTGATCACTCCTGGAGGAACAAAGAATGGCATCCAATATGCCCCAATGAGTTGAAACCAGCTATAGGGATGAAGTTTAATAATCTTGAAGAGGGCCTTGAATTTTATAAAGGCTATGCATTTGCTTCTGGTTTCAATACAAGGAAGTCTACAACTAAAAGACAAAGAAGAAGCAAAGAATTAAAATATCAGTATATCTTGTGCAATAAGGAAGGATACAAAGAGAAAAGAAAGATTACTGTAGAAAAAGATTTACATAACAAGGAAGGGGAAAACAATGAAGAAAAAGCTTCAATCAAAAGGAAGAGACTCGTTACTCGTGTTGGGTGCAAGGCACATATTGTCCTAAAGCACTGTGATGATAACACATTCATAGTGACAAAATTTCATGAGGGACATACTCATGCACTTTATACACCTAGCTGCAATCTATTCCAAAAAGAAGGAAGGAAAATGAACATTTTACACAAAAAAATAATTGTGAATAATTCTAAGGTAACACTTTCAAATTCTCTTATGTTTCATGAATTATATGTATGTTCTAATAAAAGTTGTTAGCTCATTTGACAAATGAGCAAATAATTTTTTTTCTCATTTGTCAAATGAGCATTGAATTGTTTCATGAATTCTCTTATGTTTCAAATTCTCTTATGTTTCATGAATTCTCTGTATGTTCTAATAAAAGTTGTTTGCTCATTTGACAAATGGGCAAATAATTTTTTTCTCATTTGACAAATGAGCATTGAATTGTTTGCTCATTTTAAAAATGAGCATTGAATTATTTGCTCATGTGACAAACTGTTTTGTTCTTTAAATAGGTGAATATTGGTCCCGTTACAACTTTTCGAATGATGAAGGAAATTGTTGGAGGATATGAAAACATTGGTGCATCTAAGGAAGATTTCAAAAAATTTCATAGAGATTTAAAAGCATACATTCAAGGAAGCGATGCTCAAATGTTCGTGGATAACTTTACCAACAAAAAGCTAATGTGGAGCGCTTTTTTCTTTGATTTTGAGATGGATGAAGATTATTGTCTTTGTAGAGCATTGTGGGAAGACCCCCTTTGTAAAAAGAGTTATGCTCTATTTGGTGATATGGTATCCTTTGATACCACATACCAAACCAATAGGTAATTCATTTATGTGTTATTACTAGCCATTGCTGAAATTAATGACTTTGTTTTAAATAAAATTAGTTTAATTGCTCATTACTTCTATGTGAAAATTGAATACCCCCATAAGTCTAATATTCTTTGATAAGAGTATGTATATGGGCATTGAATTACATGTTCATTTGACAAATGAGCATTGAATTGTTTGCTCATTTGACAAATGAGCATTGAATTGTTTGCTCATTTCACAAATGAGCATTGAGTTATTTGCTCATATGACAAATGAGCATTCAATTATTTGCACATTTGACAAAAGAGCAAAGAATTGTTTGCTTATGTCACAAATAAGCATTGAGTTATTTGCTCATTTGACAAATGAGCAATTGATTATTTGATAATATTTCAAATGAGTATTAAATTATTTGATCATTTAAACTATATTTTGTATGTGTAAACAGGTACAATATGGTGTTTACTTCATTTACAGGCGTTGACCATCATAAGAATTGCATTAATTTTGCTGCTGGTTTCATAGCAAAGGAAGATATCGTGTCATTTGAATGGTTGTTCAGATCATTCCTCAAGGCAATGGGTGGGAATGAACCTAATTGTATGATCACAGATCAGGATCCAGCAATGAAAATTGCTATTAAAAGTGTGTTTGAGAAGACTGAACATCGGTTCTGTATGTGGCACATAATGAAAAAGTTACCAGATAAGGTGGAGAAATCAATCATGCAAGAAGAAACTGGTTTCCTAAAAAAATTATGTGCATGCGTTTGGCACCTTGAAATTGAACCTGCTGAGTTTGAAGAAAGGTGGAACAAGGTGATGATTGAATACCACTTGGAACAACATGAATGGTTAGGTTATATGTACAATATAAGAGACAAGTGGATTCCGGCCTATTTCAGAGATGTGTTCCTTGGAAGAATAATGCGTACAACATCAAGATCCGAAAGTGAAAACAACTTTTTCTGCTCTTTTATCAATCCTCATGTGTCACTTGTTGAGTTTTACTTGAGATATGAAGCTGCAATTGATGCCCAGAGACACACTCAAGGTCAAAATGATAATGATTCAAAGCACAAATATCCTGAGTGCAAAACACCACTAGGGATAGAAAAGCATGCCTCACATTTATATACTAACTCTGTGTTTTATGAATTTCAATACGAGGTTGAAATTGCTTGTTTTTCTTGTGGTGTTGATGAATTGAAGAAAGAAAATGAATTGGAAGTTGCAACAGTAAGTGAAGGAAATCGGACTAGAACATTTGATGTTGTGTTTAATCCAACTAACTATGACACAACATGTTCTTGCAAGCTATTTTATAGGCAAGGAATTCCATGTAAACATATGATTTGGGTTTGGAAAGCAAAAAGGTTTGAAACCATTCCCAAGCAGTATATGCTACACAGGTGGACTACTATGGCATTAAAGAAACCTATTTTTGACTTGGGAGGAAACCTGTTGGAGCAATGTGCTAATATAATAGACAAGAAAAAATTGTTAAATGATTTATGGTCAGAGATACACACTTGTGTAAGTTTGGCAGAAGGAAAAGATGAAGATATTCAAGACCTTGTGATAAATCTTCAAGGAATAAGAAAGGATTTGGAAGCAAAGAGGATTGCAAGAAATAATGAAACAACAGCTGGAAGTGCAAAAAACAAAGAGCAAGACATTGAGCTATTGATTGGAGCTAGTGTGCCAACTGAAATAATTGTCAAACCTCCAAAAGTTTCAAAGAATAAAGGGACTGGAGTTCATGTATCAAATGAAGAGACATCAAAAAAGAAAGCGAGTGAGACTGATGTGTCAAATGTTGAAACAAGAGGTAGAAGTGCAAAAAGGCTTAAGGGAGAAAAAGAAAAGGCTGTAGAACAAAACCAAAAAAAGAAGAGATTATGTAGAGGTTGTGGTGAATTGAGTCATCATGATATTAGAAATTGTCCAAAAAAAGTGTAATGATACTTTTATATACATATAAGATTTTGTTGAATTTTTATATTTAATAATATATTATTAATTTTTGTACTAATCATAGTTTAATGCTTTGCAATATTGTTGAATTGAAAATAGAACATATTCAAATGAGTGACTAAATATTTGTTCATTTCTCAAATGAGCAATAATTCCTTGCTCAATAATCAAATGAGCAAATAATTATTTGCTCATTTGGTAAGTGAGCAAATTAGCTATTGTATGAACTTGGAACAATTATACTCTTGTTTCATCTCCCAGTCCAAAATCAGCTCTCCTTGGGTCAAATGAGCAAACATATCTTTTCTCAATCATCAAATGAGCAAGTAATTCCTTGCTCACTTAGCAAATAATCAAAAAAGGTAAAAGCTCATTTCTTAAATGAGAAAAAATAGTTGCTCATTTGTGAAATGATCAAACATTTCTTTATTCATTTATCAAATGAGCAAGAAATTCTTTGAACATTTCTCAAATGAGCAATAATTCCTTGCTCATTAATCAAATGAGCAAATAGTTAACTACTCATTTTGTAATTATTTGCTCATTTGGCAAGTGAGCAAATTAGCTATTATATGAACTTGGAACAATTGCACTCTTGTTTCATCTCCCAGTCCAAAATCAGCTCTCCTTGGGTCAAATGAGCAAACATATCTTTTCTTAATCATCAAATAAGCAAGTAATTCCTTGCTCACTTAGCAAATAATCAAAAAAGGTAAAAGCTCATTTCTTAAATGAGCAAAAATAGTTGCTCATTTGTGAAGTGAGCAAACATTTCTTTATTCATTTATCAAATGAGCAAGAAATTCTTTGAACATTTATCAAATGAGCAAGAATTCATTGATCTATCATTTAATGAGCAAACATCTGTTTGCTCATTTAACAAATGAACGAATATTTCAAATGAACACTGGTTGTATATAACAAGGTATGTGAAGTAAAAACAAATAAAAGATTGAATTTTAATTCAAATATAATCATCACTATAGTAAAAAAAGGGTAGGCTTCTATTGAGAAAATCTGTTTATAAATCAGTTTTACATCATTCAAAGACTACTTAAAAGTAGATAAAATCTTAATTTACCCAATTCCCTAAACCAAAAAAGACAAATCATCACTACTAACTATTTAATTCCCTAACATTCAGCTTTCTTCAGTCTTTTGCTCTTTCTTCCTTGAACTTTTTCTTCTTCAGGCTCTTCTTTTTCAGCATTTTCTTCTTTATCAGCAACAGAAACTTTACTTTGCTTTTTCTTCTTCTGAGCAATTTCTTTAACAGATTGAATAGTGTTCACTTCACTTGTAATTATTCCCAGGGTGTACTTTTCACGAAGTTTAGTCAAGATTATCAACTGCAAAACAAATAACATAATCAAACCCTATAAAATTAAGGAGATTTCAATAACATGAGCAAACATGTAAAAGTAACACCACAAGTTGCAGTTGTAACTTGTAAGGCAATGGCCTACGGTATTGCTAGATTAATGGACCATAGACCTCAAAATTAAAGTAAACATTTGATAGGAATCCTTGCTCATTTATGAAATGAACAAGTAAATCCTTGCTCATTTGTCAAATGAGCAAACATTTCTTTGCTCATTTGATAAATGAACAAGTAATTTCTTGCTCATTTAGCAAATAATCAAAAAGTTAATTGCTCATTTCTTAAATGAGCAAAGAATTAGTTGCTCATTTGTGAAATGAGGAAACATTTCTTTGTTCATTTATGAAATGAACAAGTAAATCCTTGCTCATTTGTCAAATGAGCAAACATTTCTTTGCTCATTTGATAAATGAGCAAGTAATTTCTTGCTCATTTGATAAATGAGCAAGTAATTTCTTGCTTATTTAGCAAATAATCAAAAAGTTAATTGCTCATTTCTTAAATGAGCAAAGAATTAGTTGCTCATTTGTGAAATGAGCAAACATTTCTTTGTTCATTTATGAAATGAACAAGTAAATCCTTGCTCATTTGTCAATTGAGCAAATAATTTCTTGCTCATTTAGCAAATAATCAAAAAGGTAATTGCTCATTTCTCAAATGAGCAAAGAATTAGTTGCTCATTTGTGAAATGAGCAAACATTTCTTTAAATTAAGCAAATAGACCAAAACATCTTATTATTAATGAGACTAATCTAAAAAACTTACATTATTTTTCTTCAAACCAGGATCCCACTTTGCACAACCCATGTATGTTTCCATGAGTCTCATCACTGCAACTCCACAATGCAAATGATTTTTATCCGAAGACTTCCATGGACCATTAATCACAGAAATTTCCATCCGCTTGATATCATTTGCCAAAATAGAACTCTGTACATTTCCTTCACATTGAATAAAGATTGAAAAAGCAGTTCTCTGAAAATTAAAACATCAAATAAGTAAACATAATAAAATCTGATCATTCAAGTAAAAGAAACAAACATAATGTGAATAAAGATTAACTTTTAAGCCATACCAAATGTTTTAAAAGCTGTTTATGATCTCCAGCATCTTTGTTATAATCAAAAAGCTCGATATTACCATTTAGTGTGGTAGTGTTAAAACATACCAAATAGTAATGATCTTCTTCATAAACTGGGAAGAAAAAAAGTTGAATATCCTTGTGTGGTACAACTGATTTTATGTACAAATTCTCAGCAACCTCAAAAAACATCTTATTCCGATGGGCAACAGAATCTATCTCATAGTGAATAAGACAGTCCTACATGTTAAAGAAAAAATAATTAATTACAACAAAAAAACAAAATAATTCAATAAAACAAAATAAATGAAAGAATTTGAACTTACGGTAGCACTAAGGTCAAAAAAGAAACGAGCAGGAGAATTTGGATCTCTAAACTGCTCATTATAATTCAGAATGCTACACCAAGCATTAACGATCTCTGTATCAACTTTATATTTATTATAAAACTTCTCAAGATGTAATCTCAAAATTTCAAGACCATTCTCTCCATAAAATACTGGTTCACTGCATAAAAAGAATAAAGAAAGTTAGTATGACTAAAACAAATGGAAGTTAATGTACAAGATAATAAATTCTATAGATAAAAAAATACTTACAAACGATTTTTATCATCAGCAAACATTGCTCTCAAGACGCTCGTCTGAACTGGTGATAATGGATTGTAAATTATCATAATGCGGGACTTAAAAGGTGATCTAAGAAGCACTGATGGCTGAGGTTTGCGTTTCTTTGGAATAAAACTCTTCTTTTCAGTATTACCTTTTCTCTTATGCACAATTAAAGCTTCTTGAGCATCAGAAATGAGATCTTGAGGATTAGCAATCAGAGCATCACCAACAGCTTGAGAAGCATCAGCAACAGAAGCACCAACTTGTGCACTGACAGAAGCAACTACAGGTTCAGTAGGCGCATTGCTAGGGGGAGAATCAGTTTCTTGAGAAAAGACTCCTAAACTGAATGTAGGAGTTCCAGATTCTTTGGCAAGTGAACGTCCTGAAGCAGATTTGAAACTTGAATCTCCAATTTTTTTGAACACATTTTCAGCAGCCCTATCTGAACATCCAACATTAGGGATACAACTTGCTATCTGCACACTTTCATAAGCAATCTTAGTAACATCAATGGGTTCCGATTCATTTTGATGAACAACCATTGCATTGATTGAAGATTCAGCATGCTTTTTGTTGCTTGAAATCTCAGAAAACCTATCCCAAGCTTCAATTATTGCTGGATCTTGACAATACCCTTCATCTTGGCTAAATGAAAGAGTATTATCTTCAGTCAAAGTTTTGGAGCTCATCTTATACTCATCACAAATGCCCATGGCATCTTCCTTCAACTTTTGTATCTTCTTGTTGTTTGGAAAATACTTGATGGCAGTTTCATGTTTTTTACTGAAATTCATGTATGCCAAGACCAGGTTTGTAGATGCTGTTGCAAGCTCCATAAGGCATTTCTGTAAAAAAAAAATAAAAATAAAAAAATACATAAATAAGATAAATATAAATGAGAAGAGTAAATATGAAATGAGCAAAGTGGAAATGAAATGAGCAAAGTGGATATGGAATGAGCAAAGTCATATAAAAATGAGCAAATTGAACTTTATATGAGCATTGAAGTTTTTGCTCATTTGACAAATGAGCAAAAAATTAATTGCTCATTTGACAAATGAGCAAAAAATTAAGAACTATAATGCTCCTGCTCACAAGAAATATCCACATATTTATCATATATGATTTTCACAAGATTGCAGTAACCAAAGACCAACATTTACATAAAATACTTTTTCTATATTCATGAGATGCATATGAGTAATGAAAAAGCACACATATGGCCACTTGCCTCTATGCATCATACTGAGAAGAACTCTAAAAATGAACAAAAAATTAATATTGGTTTCCAGAAAACTCATATAAATACCTTCTTTGGATCTTGTTCACTTTCTTCATTTTTTGTACGAATTGGATCAGATTGTTCATAAAGACAAACAAACAAAAAAAGAAAGTTAGAACAAGTTTGAAAGCAAATATCTTAACAAATATAAACCAATCTTACTTATAACACATAACCAATTGCATAATTTGCTCATCTGTCAAATGAGCAAAAAATTATTTACTCATTTCAAATATGAGCAAGTAATTGCTTACTCATTAGACAAATGAGCAAAAATTAGTTGGTCATTTCCAAAAAGAACATAGAATATTACAGTATATATGGTTACCTTATTGGCAATTACTTGAGTTTCCACTTCAAAAGGAATGAATTTTTCCTAAATAAAAAACAAAAAAGTTAAAAAAAGTAGGATAAAAAGGAAAAGAATAAAACAGAAAATTATAGTTAAACACCATTTTAGGCTGTATCATGCTAGAAGAACCAGCATCAAGCTTTTTAGCACGAATATTTCCAAGCCTCCCTTTAAAGAGTTCCAATTTCTCACGTGTTGACAGCATAGCTGTTGTCCACCCTTTCAAGATTGGAATTTCACGTGCAGCTCGAACTTCCTCAAGTACAAATTGATCAACATATAATAACTACAAAAAGTAAGAAAAGAAAAATTAGTAATTAAAAATAAAAAATAAGTAAGAAATACTACATTAAAAATAAACAAAAATTAAAGTAATACCATAAGAAACAATAAAGACCCAGGAAAAGAACGAGTTGGACGTTCTTCCCATAAAAGCTTGCCCTTCACGAGAGAATCAAGGATATACTTTGACCAATTCAAGTCCTTGATTTTATCAACATCAGAAAGAAATGTAAGAATATCATAATTAATATTCATGTTTTGTTTCCCTGACAAAAAAATGAGCAAAACAAAAGAGAAATGAGCAGATAGAAATTTAAGTGAGAAAAATAAAATAGAAATGAGCAAACTAAATTGAAAATGAGCAAATTGAAAGTAAAATGAGCATAATAAAAATAAGAAGACTACCATCCATCAGTGTAGACACACAAAGAACTACAAAGTTCCGTTTGAACATAGCACTAGCTGACTTATGCTCCTTCAAAAACTCTTTAAGCTCCCCTATTTTGATAGAGAGTGAGTTGCTTTGGAATTGCTTTTTCCATTGCTGAATGACTTTTTTATTTCTGGAAAAATTATTTTTATCAATCTCTATGCCCCCTATTGGCAACCCAAGAACTTCATGCACATGGTCTTCAGTAATACGGAAAGGATCAGAATCAGGAATATTTAATGAGCACGTCTTAGCATCAAAGTACTGCACCAACCATAAACCCAACCGCAAAGGCAGTTGGGTCACCTTCAAAAACTCCATCGACCCAAATCCTATATCTCTAACTGCTTTCAACTGATTTTGTGAAACTAAAACTGATTCCATAACTTGAACAATGGATGAGGGTGACATCCGACTATGCAATGTCCCATGAATGTGAGACTTTAAACCTTCCACTTCATTGCCTGACTTCAAACCTTGCAATTCATTGCTGGATTTCATCTCCACTACCTTAATCATCTATTTTTCTTTCTTTAATGTGTCCTTTAAAACCCATTTTCCTTTGTCATTAGAAGATCCTGTCTTGAAACTCATTCCTTTATATTGTGGCTGTGTAGAATGACCAACAACTCCTAATTGTGTTGGCCCTGCTGCATCTTCGTCACCACCAACAACTCCTAACTGTGATGCCCCTAATGCATCTTGGTCACCACCAACTCTTAACTGTGCTGCCCCTACTGCATCTTGGTCACCACCAATAACTCTTAACTGTCTTGCCCCTGCTGCATCTTGCTCACCAACATTAACAGCAGAATTTGTCTCAACAGATGTCCTGCTCAACAAAATAGGTATCCTTGATGTCAAATGAGCAAATACTTAGCTACTAATTTAACAAAATGAACAAAAACTTAAATGCTCATTTCTCAAATGAGCAAATAGTTAATTGCTCATTTCTCAAATGAGCAAATAGTTAAATGCTCATTTGTCAAATGAGCAAATAGTTAGTGCTAAAATGAAAAACAAAACATAAAATGAACAAGTTATCAACTACTTTCAAAGCTGTGAAGAAGTTAGAGAACTTGTTTTTAAACTCAAATTCTTTCTCACTGATATCTAATTTAAGACCTGATGTGCAACATAATGAACTAACTTCTAGGCTTCTGATGTGAAAAGCCAAATAGTAAAACGCCTTCAAACTATCAGCTTCTTGGCTTCTAATGTGAAAAGCCGAACTAAGTACACGACGAAGTTGGTAGCTTTTTGGTGACAATAGTAATAACATTGCACAGGGAATTTTGATTGTGATAATTTCTAAGACAAACAAAAGAGATGAGAGCCCTGTACTCCCATCTTAAACTATTTTTTTTTCCTATTTGCTTTCACATACAAGTATTAACCAGTGGCAGTTTTAGATGTATTGAAAATTACTTCCCAACATAATCTACAACTTTTTATTGCTTGTAAATGTTAATTAAAAAGCTAATATTTCATAAATGAACAACAAAACATAAAATGAACAAGTTATCAACTAATCTACAAGAACTCCCATACAAGTAATACAACTAATCAACTAATCTACAACAACAAAAATAATAATAACTCAAATAATAAAAATAAAATGAGCAGAAACACATACATTGTATTTTCTTGAGGAACATTTGCAGAATCCATAGCAATTACTTCTAGGTTTCTAAAAAAACAAAGAAAATGTAAGATAATTACTCATATGAAGCAAAATTAAAACTAAAATCAACTAATAATTACTCAAATAAAGCTATAATCTAACAAAAAATAAGATAAAACCAGAAAATAAAACATAATTGAGAACTAAAGTAAACCGAAAATCAAATTAAAATACACAAAATAATTAAAATACCTAAAATCAAGCTAAAATTAACACAATAGCACAAATTATCAGTGAATTCTAGGTTTCCAAAAAAAACGAAAAAACTGGACAATAACAAAAATAAGCAAAATCAACTTGATAACTACTCAAAAAAACGAAAATAAAACTAAAATCAATGAAAAACAAAGTAAAACATTATCGACACAAATTGATAAACAATGTGAGCTGAATGTGAAAATCGAAATGATAACTACTAAAATCAAACGAAAATCAAACAAAAATCGAAATGAAAATCAACAAATGTAACTGAATGTGACCTAAAATTAATTGAAGAACACGAAAATATAAACATTAAACTCACCTTGAAAAAGAATTGATGAAGATTGAAGGAGTAGTGATGAAAAATCAGAGAGAATAGCAGAGAGAAAGAGAGTAGAAAATAGAGAAATTGTGAGGAGAGAGAAAATAGCGCGTGAAAGAAGAAGGAGAAGAGGGAAAAAACGCAGGAGTTTTGTTTGACCGGGATTTAATTGTGGCCGTTTGATGTAACTGATCCAACGGTTATAATTAGTCCTCACATATAATAGGGTTCTCACATAAGGGATGTGGTCTCATATGATCCCATTTCTATATATATATATATATATATATATATATATATATATATATATATATATATTACTCATCATATATGTCATATTTATGCACGTATAGTAGTCGTCCATATGGACCATATTGGTAAGTCATTGTCTATATTACTCCTCTTTTTTTTTTTTTTTTGACAGATATATTATTCCAATTTGCAACTCATGAATTAATGACCACTTAATAATTATAATTGTAAAATAAAATATTATATCACCATAATTGTATGATTCATTAATTCCATGGTTGTCATTTGAATTTTTAAAACTAAAAGGTTCAGATTTACTAATTTTTGAATTATTTTTAAATGTTACTCCGTAATATAAATTTAAAATTACTTCATCACTTCAAAAAAAATATTTAAATTTTTATAATATTTAATTTTCAAAATATTATTTTATAAAATTATTTTATGAAATTCAATTTTAATTATTATTAAAATCAAACATTAAAATAAAAAAATTTACAAAATTTTGTTCTTCATTGTTGAACCATGACCCAAAATAACCACCAACCATCTCTAATTGGACAATAAAATCTACACCAATTCCATTTATAATCTTGTTTATCTGAACGGTCAATCCAATTCCTTCATGGATTCGCTCGTGTGCTTTTTTTTTTAACAATTAGGTTGCAATTCAAGTTTGTTCTTCATAAATGTAACGAAGTATTTGAAAAATAAAGAGCATAATAAAAACACTTTAATGAATTATATTGGAAATCGAAACTGTAATTGAAAATCAAACCCTTAGAAAAATTGGTTGTTTCAAAAATATAATTTTTGCATGTCCCCGCTTTACAATAATTTTATTGTACATCAAACATTTTGTGAAAAGTGACCCTTTTTTCTTACAAAAGTGACCCTTTTTTTTTTTTTTTTTTACTAAAATGACCATTTTTCACAAAAGTGACCATTTTTATCATGAAAGTGACCCCCCTTTTTCACAAAAATGATTATTTTTTTTCAAAAAAGTAATTAAGCTACATATGCAAAACAAAGTATCAAAATAAAAAAAAAATTAAACACAAAATTAACAATAGTCATGAAAAAACAGTACAATCATTCAAACAAATCAAAACTCGCCGCCAAAACCACCGCTAGCGACGCTGATAACGCTGAAACCATCTCTGATTCCACCATTTTCGACCATCTCACCCAGCAAAGCGACGACAATAACGACAACTATTTTTTCGAGTTAGAGCTCACTTTACCTCCTTCCGACTTCAAATCTTCTCTCTCCACTCCTTGCTCAAAAAATTCATCAGAAAACTTCTATAATTGTGTAGAAGATAAGGAATCGATCTGAGCCGAAAATTAAGTCGAAACCTCAATCTCCGATTTTGATTCTTCGCTCAGCTTCTTCGAAGCTTCGAGTGTTCATGTTCGGAAAATTCAATAAGAAATCGACACGTGTTGAGGATGTGTTTGGAGAGTGTTTCCTCGATTTCTTCTGCAAAACGCAGCAATTCAAGCTTATTAACTGTGAAGTTCCGAATTGAAGACGGTTCAATCATTCCGAAGTCTTTCCAAAAACTTTCAATTGTTTCCTTTTGTAGCCCGATTTACACTAAATTAGTGTAAATCGGGTGTGATTAAACATTTGTGATTACATTATACTCTCTCTTTCTTTCTTTCTCTTCTCTTATCTTCTTCTTAAATCCATCACTAACTTTATGATCGGAGTGTTATTCCCGAACTCACCCCGGGTTAGCTAACTTGCACTGATTGTATAGGAACTTAGTTGGACGATAAATTCTTCATTGATCTTGAATACGGGATACTGAAGTATTTCCGGAATAAGGTTGGATTAACTAGAGAAAAGAGTATATGGAATTACCACTACTACAAAAACTAGAATAAGAAACGCAAGATACAAAACGGTTAACTTAGTTAGGCGATCTCTAGGATTATATAGAACGCCTATCAAAGTTGACCGTTCTATATGATTTATTTTATTATTTTTATTAAATTGTGATTTTATTATATAGAACGCATTTCTAAATTAACCGTTTTATTTGATATATCATCCATTCGTATAACTAACCTTTATTAATTAGGATCGGACTTTAGAATTATTTTTGGAGCATAATCCTTCTTAATTATGTCAGATTAGAGTTTGTCATCCAGGCGTGTCATAGAGGTTTAGATTGGATTATAAGACCAGTTATGTAATTTTTGTACACCATACGTAACATACTAACATATATAGATTACCTTTTCTTTTTCTTTTTTTTTTTTTTTTATTTTTTTTTTTTACTACTCCATATATAACACTTAGAAACTAGATCATAGACTTCCCTTTATTCTTTATTCAATTATCGTTGATGTACAAGAAGTGTACAATTGAACTACATTACCAGATATAAACTATAAAAGTTTTTAATCCAAATACCATAATATACATTTGAGATTCAACACAAGCTAAGCTTAATTTAAGATCAATGTTAGACTTGCAACAAGATAGGCAAGCAACAACAATAATAACAACATCAACGAGCAACTTCATCTTGGATCCACCTTTTATTTAGAGGACAATCCAAATTTGTAGGTTTTACTAGGACTGCAACAGAAGTTCCCATCTCCTCCAAAACCATACTTGGTCTGATAACCAGGATACTCGAGACGTTTAAACTTGGCTGCTTGAATTAGATATAACCCTTGATCGCTTCCTAGTTTTGGTATATCCCATCGACGATAAAATCTACTAGATTTCGAAGTGATGTGTATTTCACCATCTTCTGCGATCATCTTCTTTGCGTTTCGTAAAAATCCACTTATCAGCTTTTGATGCATACTGCAAAGCATTGAAAAGTTCTAAGATGCACATTGAGATGCTTCTAGAATAATCCCCTTAAAAAAAAAAAAAAAAAAAAAAAAAAAAAAAGACATTTTGTGAGAAACTACCTAATAAAGCCTAAAATTTGTGAGAAACTACCAAATAAAAAAAATATTGTAAGAAACTGCCTAATAAAAGATAAAATATTGTACTCCGTAATATACTACCTTTAACCGAAATTCCACCGTTGACTTAATTGAGCAAGCCCTATTTTCTCATATTGATTAACATCATTGTATCTCAAAATGGCATATTGATAAATAAAAGCAACTTTTTTAATATTTTATTTTATTTTATTTTATTTTTTGTACTGTTTTGTTTCTAATCTTTCGTCCCCTCACCTTCACCAAATCACCAGTGTACTCCATTAAACCACTATCAACTATAAACCACCATCATCGTGTTGCTCATAAACCACCATCATCTTTGTCGTCCCCTATTTTCTTCAACCTCCATACCTTTTCGGTGGCTTCGTCGCCGAATTATATGAAAAATCCTAATAAAAATAGAGAAATTAGGGCTTGGTTAAGTGGTTAACCCTTTAGGGAAAGGTTTGACTTCTACCTTCATCGAAGATGTTCATGTATTCTGATTTCTCTATTGAATTTCATTAAAGTAGTTGAGAGAATGGAGAACAGATGGAGGGAAGAAGGAGAACGGACAGAGGAAAAGAATGCCAATTTAAGAACAATTTACATAATTAGCCCCACTTACATACCCAAAATGACAAAAATATCCCTTTGAGATACTTATCATGTTTATCAAGAAGAGAAACTTGGAATTATTTGACTTAATTTTAGGATGTTGATCCACCTTAGAATACCCCCAGCACCACCATGAGGGTTGGTTTTCAAGGTGGTAAGGTTATTTTCGGGGTGGTTGGAGGATATTCCAAGTTGGTGAGGGTAGATTAGTGCTTTGGGATCGATGGTGGTTTTAAGGGTTAGAGGTGGTGATTTTGGGGTTGAAATGTGGTTTAGATGTGGTGTAGACGATTTCAAGCAAGTTGTGTTAGTTTTGGGAATGAAGGTGGTTTTAGAAGTGTTTTGAGGTCGATCATCGAGGGAAATTCGGTGTAAGTAATATTTTACAACATTTTACATTTTCTTAGATAGTTTTTATACAACATTTTACCTTTATTAGGTAGTTTACTATAACATTTTTTAATTAGGTAGTTTCTCGCAAAATATGAGTTTAATTAGGTAGTTTCTCACAAAAAAAAAAAACCCCAAAAAAATTACCGAGTAACATTTCAGACTCATACTAAGTACAGAGTAACTTTTTTACTACATTTTTGTTTTCAAATATTATAGGGTTGCAGGTTTGCAACAACTAATGAAAGTGGTCTTATGAATTGTGATGGTAAGACAATGTTACTCAAGAATTTTATTTTATTTTACTTTTTTAATACTCTGTATAATTACAATAATTTCAAGTTCTTCAAACTAATTCTTTACTCTATTTGTTGAAATACGGGGTAACAAATTTGAATTTACTACTCCAACTTGTCCCACTACGTTTTTTTTTTTCTTTATGTGTGAAAAACCACAAGCATTGTTCTATCTATCTTCAAATAACTTTATGGTACGAAAAGAATATGATAGAGAAAAAAGCTTATTCTTACCGTAATTCATGATCACCTTTACCAAATTTCCCAGCATGAGGAAAATTGAAAATCACACGATCAAACATCATGCTACCGACGAAGGGATGCTTCACCATTTTTGTGGCGTTGACACCATGAAGGACCACACTACCTCTAGTCTCCAACTCCGCCTTATTGTTGGGGAACTCACGGTAGTTTTTGATTAAAAAGTCTGCAACATTACTTACTTCTACATTGTTACAAAGATACATATTTTTTTTTCAATATAGTTACAAATTAAACTTGATCTTATAACACCGCGTAAACAATTACAAACTCAAAAAAAAAAAAAAAAAAAAAAATCGCGTTACCTTCATGGTTGAGCGAAGTTGCAATAATGTTAGAAGCCGATAAACCAAAATCAACAGCCAAACTAGCCGAGAAAGAGAAGTTGCCTTCACCAACGAGTAGCACCCTTTGATCCCTTGTGTACGGCCCTATTTTACCAACTCCTATTTTATGTAACACTCTCCGTGCAACTTCTGCTATAACTTGATCATAAATATAGGCCATGTTTGGTAATTGGCTTTTTAATGGCTTTTTGGTTAGCTTTTGGGTTTTGGCTTTTTAAGGTGGTCAAACAGCCAAAAAATGTGTTTAGTAATTGGCTTTTTAGTCAGCAAAAAAGTTGGCTTTTAAGCCAAAATGAAAAAGCTGCTTTGAGTAGCTTTTTTGTTGGCTTTTGGCTTGTTGGCCCACAAATTATCTAATAAACAGCCAACAACCACCAATTAATTTACCAAACACTTTTATAAACAGCCAACTTAAACAGCCAATTTAAAAAGCCATTATAAACAGCCAAACATTCCAGCTGATCAAACAAGCCAAGTGAACCAGCCAACAGCCAACCGCCAACAGCCATTTGCCAAATCAAGCATAGATTCTTCGTTACTTTCACTGATCAAATCGAGCACAACATGGGGTGCTGGTGATGAATCTAAGTTGTCGTCGTCATCCTCATCATCAATCCATGGACTACCGGTTCTTGATTCAAAAACCGGCTGAAAATGGTCGGATATGTTGACGTAGTACTGGCTTTCTAGCTGATTATTATGATCAACATAATAAGTTTGGTGATTATTGGACTGAACATCTTTTCTTTGTGTTTCATTTCTTGATTTTTGGCAAATCCAACTACATAAGTTGGAAGATATTTGACCCATTTTTTGGACTAGCTAGCTATAATACTGTACGACTAGAATCTATCTTATGAACTTTCATATATGGAGTGTATACTGCATAATAATTTTAATCTAACGATTGGAAGTAAATAATAAGTTGACGACTTGATTGACTTCACATGAATTTTGATTGGCACCTAATTACCCACTCAATATTCCATTTGATGAAGTAAAAGAATTTTTTTTATTGAATAGATATAAAGTGAACAATAAAGAACAATAAAGGCTCGCTACTATCAAACTTCAAGTTAAGGAAAGCTTCAAGAGTTGAAGACATTCCATGTAAAGTTAAAAGTATACTGAGTAGTTTAATAGGTACGGAGTTCCCTGTTACGACTACTTACGAGTAGCTTATTTCGTGTCTTACATATACATTGATACAAGCATAACCTTAAACTTTTATGTTGATAGTAACAAACTAACAATGAATACAATTAAATACAATTGGATACGTTAACCGTAACTCTTCTTCTTTATCCAGGCTTGGGACTGACAACGAAAACCAACTTACAGAGTTAAGCATATCAAAGTTTTAAAAAGTATGAGTACTATTTTTTAAAACTATTTTTTTTAAAAAAAATTAAGAAAAAAAAAACAAAATTCATAAAAAATAATAAGAACCCCATATATAGTTATAGTTATAATATATACTACTCCTATTGGACATAGCCTTGTTTTTTTAGCTTTGAGACTATGGCTTAGGGCCTGTTCTCATACGTTTATGTTCAGTTCTGTTCAATTCAGCTCAGCTCAACTCAACTTAGTTGAGTTTAGTTCAGCTCAGCTCAGCTCAATTCAGTTCAGTTCAATTCAGTTCAGCTCTTAATTTCCTTCTCTTATAAAATATTCATTTCAGTTCAGTTCAGCTGAGTTCAATCAATGAGAACAGGCCCTGAACTGAGCTGAACTGAACTAAAATGAATATTTTATAAGAGAAGGAAATTAGAAGCTGAACTGAACTGAACTGAATTGAGCTGAACTGAATTGAACTGAATTTCAATGTATGAGAACAGACCCTTAGTACTTTAGTATTTAAACCTTTAGTGGTATGAAATAATCCGTAATTAAAAACATAATCCCTCCATGCCTTATTGATAGTCCTTTATGGCCAATTGTTAGTCCCAAATTGATAGTCTAATTTGCTTTTTACAAGTACTCTCTCTGTCCCTGAATTACATTTCTACTTCTCTCTATTATAATAGGAATTTATTAAATGCTAAAAATAGGAATCTATTAATATGACGAAGGGAGTACCATTAATATCAATTTTTTACCGAAATTCCCTCAAATTTGCAATAATATTTGTGCAAATTTAACTGTTTCATGTAAATTTTACTTTTTCATGTATTTTTATTACTTTCTCTACTTTTTTACATACCCAATGTTAATTTACCTTTTTAGTGTAATTTTACTACTTTTATTTATTTTTATTAATTCCCGTAAAAATTACCCATAAAAGACTATCAACAATGGACAGAGGGCGACATAGAGTAATAATTGTAATTATTAGTATTCCATTCATTTGTCATTATGCTTTTTCCATGCTTATTCCACTGTATATTATTAAAACTCGAAGTTTTTTCTATAAAAAAAATCTGTAAGTCTCATATGAGAAGGAAAAGAGAAATGGCAGAGGTACAAAATATTGCAAGTACTATTAATTAGTTTAAAAGCCAATAACTAAAGTGAAAAATAAATTATGAGAATAGCTTTTGAAAAAAGAAAGTTAAAGTGCGTGATAACGAAACCAATTAGACTTACTTGGTGACTTAGGAACAAAGTATATTGTGTACGAACCACACAGAATTAGTAAAACTGTAACTAAAATAAAATTAATACTGTAAATTAATTATTTTAATTTTTTTTCATTAAAATAATTTTTTTTCACATACATACCTGTTCTCATGTAATTATCCCCATTTATCAAAATATTCATATATTTCCAATACAACTACAAACATATTTAGCTACTCCAAATACAAATATATTCCTATTTTTAATATGGATTTTGCTAACGAGCGCACCGGGGCTAGAAATTTTGCTAACGAGCGCCCCATGACATTAGATTAGGAATAATTATATTGGTTGAAATAGTATTAAATTAGGAATGTATGACAAAATCACGCGTCGTTCGGTGTAATAATTAATATTAGTTTTACTCTAATATTTTTCACTTTTAATTCTCTTATTTAACGCCCCAGGGGCGCTTATTAGCTTTTGCCTAGTAGTAGTAGTAGCAGCAACAGCAGCAGTAGTAGCAGCAGCAGTGTAGCAGCAACAGCATCAGCATGTGCTTACCAAAAATTAGTGCTTGTGTTACTAAATAATTTACAAACTTTACTGCTTGTTTATTAGTACCTATTTTTGAAATTATTTGGGGTTTTCTGTCATTATAGACGACCTTAAATCCTTAATACACTATTTTTAGTCGAGGTTCTACGAATGTCCAATTTCTTTTGTAATCAATATGCCTTTGGATACTTCTGGGCCTTTAATACATGTTATAGTAAAAAAAAAAAATCAAAACTCAATAGAGAACGGGAAGAATTGAAGAGCACGAAGACTTCTTTTTTTTTTTTTTTTTTTTTTTTAGGGGGGAGAACACGAAGACATATTTCAATAGTCTATTGGAATATGGTAACAAGACCCATTACAATAGTTGAAGACTTATATGACGAAAATTACTCAATTAAACCACAAAATATGTTACACAATATATTTTGTAAATAATAAAACAACGATTCATTTGTTAATTGGAATTAAACTATTTGAACACCATATAATAATAAAAATAAAAATAATTAAAAAAAATTCTAAAGGAGATTGCCAAACTCATCAATTCTTGATACATGTTATTGAAGTAAATAAGTAAATGACATATTATGGTTAGCAAATTAAAATAACACAAGATTTAAACAAAATAACATAAGGTTTAGGCAAAATAACTCAAACATAATTGGTATGAAATACATGATCCAGGAGTTATAATTCTAATTGTATATATACATTCAATACAAGCTTAATTTAAGATCAATGTTAGACTTGCAATAAGTAAAGCAAGCAACAACAATAATAATTAACAACATCAACAAGCAATTTCAACTTTTAATTTATTTAGAGGACAATCCAAATTTGTAGGTTTTACTAGGGTTGCAGTGAAAGTATTTGTCCCGTCCAAACCCAAACTTGGTCTGATAACCAGGATACTCGAGATTTAAACTTGACTGCTTGAATTAGATATACCCTTGATCACTTCCTAGTTTTGGTATATCCCATCGACGAAAAAATCCATTACATTTCGATGTGATGTGTATTTCACCATCTTCTCCGATCATCTTCTTCGCGTTTTGTAAGAAACCACTTATCAGCTTTTGATGCATACTGCAAAACATTCACAAAGTTCTAAGATGCATATTAAGATATTGATAGAGTATAAAACATATTTCTGAGCCTCAACCATCAGCTTAAGCTTCTCCGGAAAATATTAATAGAGTATTATCAATATAAAACATATTGATAGAGTATTATATACTTTAATACTTCCCCGGAAAATATAAACACTTCTATTATGCTTACTTTGTTTCATCAAATTCTTTTTATATTATTGTTTAAAATAATTTGTCCTTTCATAAGGTCCTTCAACCTTTGGATTAAAAACAAAAGTCCTTCAAACTTAATCTTTACTTCTTTTTTTTTGTTTCGTAAAATTCTTTTCATTATTTGTTGTTTAAAATATTTTATACTTTATATTCACTCTGTCCCTTATTTTTTTGCCCCATATAATTTATAAAGCTCTCATAAAAAAAAATAATAATAATAATAAGTCTTTCAAAAAAATTAATGTTTACTACAGAGTTAACTATATTCTTGTCAAAATAACAAAATTATTTTGTTTTAAACCCTGAGTTGGTCCACTTGGGACTAGGCTTCTTTTTATCTTTGCACTCTCAAAAAAATTGAAATTAATAATCACAATTCACAATAATCCACTTCTTGTATTGCTTTATCTATTTTCAAATAACATTATGGTAGCTATTCAAAAAAAAATAATAATAATAATAATAATAACATTATTGTACGGAAATATAGAGTGGAGAAAAAACTTGTTCTTACCGTAGTTCTAAATCACCTTTACCAAATTTCCCGGCGTGAGGAAAATTGAAAATCACACGATCAAATGTCATGCTACCAACGAAGGGATGATTCTCCATTTTCGTGGCGTCAGACACCATGAAGGACCACACTACCTCTAGTCTCCAACTCCGCCTTATTGTTGGGGAACTTCCGATAGTTTTTGATTAAAAAGTCTGCCAATTCATTACAAAGATACACATTTTTTTCAATAATCTAGCTACAAATAAACTCGATCTTATAAGTTATAACAACGTGTAACCAATTACGGGGTA